TCCAAACTGTCGGTCGGCGAACACGAAGGGCCAATGGCTCATATCCATAATCAGACGAATTAATCGATTTGAAAAAAAAGAGCCCAAATTTCATAACGTATTCACGGATGAGAATGATAACCGTTCAAGTGGCTTGAACCATCGAGAAAATAACAAGGGTGAAAGACCAAAATCGATCATTTCTACCTCTAATGGAGTGGGCCTGAATTCGTGGTTGAGTCGCGCCACAATATTTTGAAATCAATGACATACTGAAATCAGAGAGGGTGAAATACAATGTCTATTATCTCAATTGAGAAACAAACATATAGCTGTAGTGGCTTATCGAGTGTTTACAAAAAGAATGACTTTTGGATCCACTGGAAGAACTTAGAGATTGAATTAATTACACGGTTTGGGGCGTCAGATTACCATGACTATGATAAAGCTCTCTCGCATATAAAACATTAGGGAAGTTTACGGGAATATCAAAAGGAATTTGAGCGAATCGCGAGTTGGATTAGCGGTTGGGCGAAAGGAGCGCTTGTGGGCGCTTTCATTGGAAGTTTGAAACCCTACTTAGCAGCCTAGGTTCTCTTGGTGAGGCCCAGAACCATGCGCACAACCAGAAAGATCGCATGCATATGTGGCAATCACTTGGCAACTATGCGCAAGGCTAGTCAACCCGAGTCACGACGCCTGGGCCTATTTTCTATCCGGACACCTGAAGTCGGGGACGGGGCATTGTAGAGAACACGAGCCTGATATCAGCGAGGTTATCAACTACCTTGGACGAGATGCAGAGATGACGAAAGAAGGTTTTGTGTTTCAGTTATGATGAGAAGTTTGCCCAGTGTAACACCAGCCTAAAATTACTAAATTTAGAGTATATTTTTCACGCTATAAATAAAAAGCACTGATTTAATTTTCGAAAACTCTTAATAATTTTTTGAAAATGCTTTAACTTTAATCTGCGGGATGTTACTCAACTGAACTACCTTCTCGTTTCTGCTCTCACTTACTATTATGCATGCAACCGAGATATAATTCATTACTCTAATAAGGTGCCATGAAAATCTCAGGATTTTAGGCATACATGACCTGAAATATGAATACCGACTACTGTTTTGAGTGTTGAATACTGAGTGTGGAAGCAAATACAAACATGCATCAACAAATCATAATAACTCAAACATGTTCAAATATACATGACATGTTTACTAAAAAATATCCTCGCTATGACCACCACCATATCATCGGCTCACGCTCCACGCTCGGCACTATCACCTGAAAAATGTTTAGTGGGGGGCGTGAGCATAAATGAATCAACGATGCTCCGTCAGAACCGACACTGAATACACATCTAATATAATAACATATCATGACATCGGTATATATGCAAGTACTTATTGGATAGGCAGAAACGATACGATAATAAGCATTTTACTAACGGATCGCGAATTAAACATTCGTATAATAAATAAATAACTAAGTAAACCATCTATAGTTGCTACTTAACTGATTGTATATAATTGTTGCTTAACTGACTGACTATAACTGGTGTTCGACTGACTGACTGACTATAATTGTTACTTGACTGGCCGACTATCACTGCTGCTCGACTGACTGACTATAACTGCAGCATCGCAAACTAAACATACTGTAATGTGATAAACACATCACAACCTAAACGTACATCTAATATGATAAAACAGATCACAACCTAAGCATATATCTAATATGATAAAACACATCACAAAGGCGTATAAATAAGTAAATTGTCTATAATTGTTGTTCAATTTACTGTCTATAACTGTTGCCCAACTGAATGTCTATAACTGTTGCTCAACTGACTGTCTATAGCTGCTGCTCAACTGGCTGTCTATAACTGCTGCTTAACAGACTGGCTATAACTGCTGCTCAACTGTCTGTCTATAACTCCTGCTCAACTAACAAGAAGGGAACATGGCCTTCGCGCTTGTGATAAGCAACTGTAGGACCTAATCTGTAGGTCGTTACCCCTTAGGGAAGAATTATTCTATCCTCATCTGAAATTTCAACTTAACTCGAGGTTGTTCTAAGGTCCTTAATTCACTTAATTCAAAGCTGCACTAGAGTTCTTATATCATCTTAACTAGAAAGGACCTACTCGCTAGGTGATTGCCTTTATTCAAGAAAACTAACTTTATAGAAAATGTAGTACCCAGTACAAGGTCCCCACCTGTATGCTGAAGTGCAAGTGTTGAATGGATTACAACTGTCGGTGGGTCGACTCCCCACAAACTACAAAATATATAAGCACAAAATAAATAATAAGTACTAAGCTTAAATTAGAAAACTCAAATCTTATTATCTGATCTGCTAGGTTCGCTCACTCGGTTTTAAAGTCATTTAAAACTCATTTTAGGAGAGCTGACTAAGAAATATTAGAGCATGTTTGTATACAAGAAATCCCAAACAAAAATTCAAACATTTTAACGCAATCACTTTTTTTAACTCAACTTTAACTCAACTCCACTATCATCAATATTATCAATATAATTAGATAATATCAATCAATCATTCATACGCACCACATCACATTAATTTACTATTCATCTACTCAAAATATTTTAACTAACCATCACATCAAATTTTTAATTATTTTATTTTAAATATTATTTTAATATATCCACTAACAATTAGCCATACTACATTTTTCAAAATTAATCAAACCAAACTAAAAAATCCAAGAAAACCAAAAATTTTCATATCCAAACATGCTCTTAATGTCTTTGATGCATACTAGACTTCTCGAATTATTTTTAGGTATGAACTATAATCTAACTAGATACTAATCTGACTGGTCAAAATCTGATTGAAATTTTATCTGATTGGTTCAGAAACCTGGATTCTCGGTTCACGCTCAAAGCGATGTTCCGAACTGAACTCCCAAACCGTCCGGACTGTCCTGACTGATTCGGCTAAATTGGAATTCTCTTTGAACCGTCCGGACTGCCCAGACTGGTTCGACTGAAATGGACTAACGGCTCATTCGGAGCTGGTCGATCATGCTTGACTATGTGCAACTCGGCTTAACCGTGGTCTGGGTTCGACGTGGCAACCCGAGGCCTGCACGAACACGGCTGACACGACTTTTTTGATGCACGAGTTTAAACGGTACCACGGTCATTGACGCAGGGGCGTGCTTGGACCACGACTGACGGAGAATATCGCGTTGACGGTAGGTGGGACGGACGCACGGGCATTAGAAAGACCACAGGGCGCGACTCGGTCATACTTGGTGCACGGGCACGAACTCGGTGGCTCAACTCCAACGAACGGATGAGAATGCGACACGTGTGCGGGACGACGATACGTGTGGAAGGTTCATGCTATAACATGACGGTTGAGTAATTCCGATTGCTACGAGGCACTCGGCCTCGATAGCCTTCATAGGCTCGGTTATGATCCGTCGGCGAGTAACCAGCCGATCGACCACATCCCAACACCCAATGACTCATTTATAATCTTACAATGTCTAAAATTATTTATGTATATTGACATATCATAAAAAAAAAATAGAAATTTATGTATATTAACATACCATAAAATAGTTATTTTATTTGAAAAAAATATGTAAGCTAACTGCGAACATCAAGTTAATATAAAAATTATTTTAAGGTTTATATCTCAACTTAATCAAAGACTACATAGAGATTGAAGATTATTATGATATTTTAATAAAATAAACATTATAATTTGAATAATAAAAATGGTTATTATATTTCACAAAGTTCAGTCTCACACACATTATATTTTACATTATTTGGATATTATAAAGTTGAAGATATATTAAAAAATATTAAATGAGGGAAGAATATTGTATAAATATGAAATATAATTACAATTTAATCAAACTTGAAAAAATAAAATTATTGAGTTGTAAATAACACATACACGCACGCGCGTGCACGCGCGCACACACGCACATATAGTTAACTTTGTTATCTTTTTTGCAAATCGAGTATAAAATATGTGTATTATTTCAGATATTCAACTAATTTACTATTATTTAATTATTAGTTGTATTTTTAAATTTTTATTATTCTATGATAATAATATAAATTTATTGACTTCTTTGTTTTAATAAAATTATATAATATTCAAGCACCATTTGTTGTTCATTGGCATAATATTAATTGTTGAATAAATAAATTATTATATTTAATTTTAACAAAGTAAATATATATTAAATAAAACAAATAATACTTCATAAAATATTTTCTAAAATTCAAAATAATATCTAAAAAATACTTTATATTAATTATTTTTATTTATAGTTATTTTTTATTATACAATAAGAATTTTAATTCGTTTTCACTTTTTATTCGACACTTAGTTTTTTTTTTCTTTATGAAGCGTCCGTGTAATATATGGACAATTTACCGATTTACTAGTTATGATTGTTACTTAGATTTATAGTTTCGTATTGTTTACTCATCTAATGAGTAATAATTCATCCTATGTGCATGAGCACAAATTGATCATTATTAGTTAAGATTAATCCTCTAATCCAATCTTTTAATTAAGATGAAGATATTAAGTGTGATTAAAAGTAAATAAATCCATACAAAATAAAAGGGGAGCCAATTTCGAGTGCTATTAAATACACAGATTCCCTTAATAGTTACACGGCCAAATTCGGACAAAAAAAGAATAAGAAAAGAAAAAAAAACCAAAATAACATCAAAGTGGTTGTGATGACCATATTTTAAGATCTAAGACATATAAACTCCGGTCAATACTTGTTAATAAACACATTTCCATCTAAATCACATTTTTTCCTAAATTTTCCAAATTCGCCTTTCATGTAACGCCACGCAATGAAGGTTGATTGAGATCTTTTTCCATAATTATGGGATTCATCAATAACTTCTCCCTAACTATTTAAATTGAGCCACGGCCAGCTATGTCCGTTCAAAATTTTAAACACACACACCCCCAAAAAACAAAGAAAAAAAATAAAAAATCATTTACATATGGAGAGTACCCTCGGGCCATGGCACTCTAAAGCACCCGAAGAATCCCGAGCTGACGATAACCGGGAGAATAGTGTCGTGGTGGATCTGAAGCTCGCCAACGGTGCTGATGAGCCGGTGAGTAATGGCGGCCCGAATTCGAAGTTCGAAAAGACGACCCACAATCGGAAGACGTTTATGTGCAACTTTTGTCACAGGGAGTTCTCGACCTCCCAAGCGTTAGGCGGCCACCAGAATGCACACAAACAAGAGCGTGCTATAGCCAAGCACCGACACGGGAGCACCTCGCACTACGGCCACCGCCCGAGCTACACATACTATGCCTACCCGGGCTTTTACGGATCTTTTAACAAGGCGCCACTTGGTATTAACTCCGAGGCGATGATTCAAAAACCCTACCGGTATCATCCTCCTTGGCCGCCCTCGTCTGGGCCCTATGACTATCGGTTAGGGCACGAGAAGGTGCCTAGGGCTTACTTGTTAGGCCCACCATCATTGGGGCCGCCATACGATAAGTTGACAATGGAGAAATTTCATTCGGCGGCGGTTCAAGTTGGTGGCGGAGGGTCGAGTGCGGGTCTCAAGTTAGAACTTGACCTGAACCCTAACACTAATCTTGTCGGGGTGGACAATAATAATACACGTAACGGTGCAACGACCGCGAAGAACCTAGGCAACGAGAATCGACGGCAAAGATTGGGGAATGTCGGCCGTGGAAACAACCAAACGGATGCATCGGGGCTTGATTTGGATCTGAAGCTTTAATTTATCGTCCCTTTTACCATTGTTTTTAAATTTATTACAATTGTTCAATTTTCGGATTTGAATCAGGTTTGACTCTGGACAGCATATCGTCACATATATGCGTATATAAGTATATTTTATTTATTTCTTGTAATCAAGTATCATTTAAAGTATTTTAATTATTGATTCTTTGTCATAATTAATGATTGATTTCTGTACATACTTTTAGAATTCAAATTATGTTAATTAGTACTGTTAATAATAGTCTTGCAAATAAATAATTATCTATATATATATATATATAGATTTGCTCAAATGAGAATGAGTCACGATCGATGAAAAGAAATAAGAGTAAATATATGCCTATAGATCTAACAGTTAATGGTCATGATGGAGTCAAAATTAGTAATTAAAGTCAAACTCGTTACTCGTTAAGGGGGTAATTTGGTCATTCAACACTCATTAAGGATATCTTCGTCTTTAACAACAAGCCCTAATCACTAATGGGCCCCACCACAACTACCAAACATAAATCTCTCTCCCTTCTCTCTCTCTCTCTCACACACACACACACACTGACACACAATAACACGCACTAAACTCACGCCTCACACACACACACACTCTACATCAACGTTCAGATCTGTCGGTCCACTGGCCGGAAACTGAATCGCCACCGCAATCGACTCCAGATACCCATCGCAACAGACTCCTCGACTTCCGGCGAAGACCTCCAACACGGCAAAGGCTAACTATACGCCCAGGTTCTGAGTCGCAGTGGAATTATTTCTGGCGGCTAGGCAGAGGAACACGAATAATGATGATCTGTGGTCGACTGAGAGTTGCCAGCGGCCGACATCAAGGAAGAAGAGATATGCTTCAAGAACCCCGTCCCTGTCTCAGATGCTGAATGCCGGCGACCTGGTGAGAGAAGGTGCGCGGGGACAAATGGCGACAAGCGACAGTCGGCGGACGGATGATGGCGGGCGGAGGGCGATGGTCAGGAGCAGAGGGCCAGATGTGTTGAGTGATGGGAATACATATTTTGTTGTTCAGCGACTGAATTTTGTGAATTGAAAAAGTCATAGGGACTTTGATGCCATTTTAAAATTCTTATTTTTTTGTACTTTTTTTTATGTGTAACATTCTTGTAATTTATTAAAAGTTTAAAAAATGCATACTATAATACAAAAAAAATACACAATATTTATGTGTTAAAATTCATGTTAAGACTTGCATCGTAACTTTATCAAACTATAGATTTCGTACTGTTCGGTCGACTTGGTTGTTTCGACCGTTTTAAATAATAATGTTGATCGTAATATTCAAAATTTTATATGTAAAAACTAGATAATTAATTTGAAATATAATAAATTTTAACCGAAAAAATCTTAGTTTGGTCGTTCTTAGTCAATATTGTGCAATATGATAGAAATTAATGTGCAACTTGTCTTACACGATTGTGCACTGTATCAGTCACTTTTGAGCAGTCTAACCTGACCAAACTTTTTTCTCAACGTAAATTAAAATTATAATTGTAACGTCCAGAATATTACTTACTATTTATGGAGCTCGACTTTATTTCCGTAAATATAAGTTTCCAAATTTGATGCATTTATTATTATTATTTGCATTAAATTGAATAATTAGTATTAAAGTCTAAGCCATGAAGAATTTATTCAACTTTTTTTAATTATTAAAGTCGGATTTATTTAGCTCAAGTATCAGATATGAAGTGAATTCACCCGGGCTCCTTCAACTCGAACCGGCCTCCGTACCTGCAGAACCCAACGTCGGGGGTGGCCCCGGCGTCGGGCCTCCGATGCTTAAGTCAGTGCTCAGATCAAGAGAGAGAAAGTGTAGTAATGTAATGTGGAGAGGATGAGAGAATGAGGTACCTTGGCCCCCTTTTATAGGGGGAGTGTACCTTTTGGGTCCAAGTTGGGCTTAGATGCCTTAGTGGGCTTATCTTCCAATATGTATCCGCTTTATCCATCAAACCGGGTCCAGTATAATATCTTATATCATATAGTCCCCCCCACTCTGGTCGAGTAAGCATAACTCGATCCAAGAGTGAAATGCCTCTTCGAGCTGTTTTCTTCCACTTGCCACTAAGATCGAGCATCGAAAGTCGAATGACCATTGAATAACCACTGAAATATCTTCCAAATGAGCTTTGAGATCTCAAGATCGAAAATCGAAAGACCACGGAAGTTGGAAACTGAATGATCTGGCGTCGGGGTCGAAAACCACGAGTCGAGACCGCGGAGGTCGAAAACCGAGCGCCGAGACCGCGTAGGTCGAAAACTGAGAGTCTGAGACCGTGGAGGTCAAAAACCGAGCGTCGAGACCGTGGAGGTCGAAAATCGAGAGTCGAGACCGTAGAGGTCGAAAACCGAGCATCGAGACCGCAAGAGGTCGAAAACCGAGAGTCGAGACCGTAGAGGTCGAAAACCGAGAGTCGAGACCACTGAGGTCGAAAACCGAGAGTCGAGACCGTAGAGGTCGAAAACCGAGAATCGAGACCATTGAGGTCGAAAACCGAGAGTCGAGACCGCTGAGGTCGAGAGCCGAGAGTTGAGACCGTTGAGGTCGAAAATTGAGCATCGAGACCGCAAGAGGTCGAAAACCGCGATTGAAGACCGCAAGAGGTCGAAAACCGAGAGTCGAGACCGTAGAGGTTGAAAACCGAGAGTCGAGACCGCTGAGGTCGAAAACCGAGAATCGAGACCATTGAGGTCGAAAACCGAGAGTCGAGACCGCTGAGGTCGAGAGCCGCGAGTCAAGAGACCGTTGACCGAAGTCTTGAATT